GGAGCCAACCAACATCAAACTCTCCATTTATTTGGCCATTTGTGTATCACTTATTCGCTTCAACCCACCATTGCTTTAGTTGATGTTTTAGCCATCTAGGTGCCACCCTCTCCAACTAGACCTCTCCAAGAAACCTTCCCCCATTTCCTTCTTTGAGATCCTCCTGAAAAACTGACCCATTTCACCATTCTCCCTAAAATGTCCTGTTCCATCTATGTCCATTTTCAATCAAATTCTGTCTCTGTCAAGCCATGAAGCCTTTTGGCATCATATAAAAGCAATGTTTTGTTATGTTACAATGAAAATAATTCCTGCTGATGTACTGTCACTAACTCTACAGCCACAGAATAACAAATAACTGCCGTGTGGACTTTTTCCTTCAATGCAAATTACTACATTTGTGTAATATTGTATACATTGTCTTGATTTCATGTATGAAAATAGGTGAACATCATTGATATTTTGTGTGTATTGGTTATAGAAAAATAATGATTAAAGAGGAATAAGAATTCATTCAAATTGTTATATTAATACTGGTAAAGGAATAATTTGTACACACAATCACCACTTCGTCCCTTGCCACCAGACATTTAGTTTTTTTCAAAATCACAGCTGGAGGTATGATGAAGTTTTCCGTTGGCTATCCTTCTGACATAATCTGAGACTCTGGCACAGTTGTTAGGTTTAAGTCACAATTTAACCTCAAAACCAAACATCGGATTGTTTCTTTGGAAATTTACCCATTAAGGCAACGGGAGGTGATGTAGTGAGATGACTCAGACAACATTACATAAGTACAGACATATCAAACAGGACGATGACTTTGCAGATTTAATTCTGGTTTCTGCTTTCCGGTTTGGTTTAGGACATGCAGTCAACACTCAATCTCTGGTCTCTCTCCAACACCTCTGGTGTCCTCTGCTTCCAACTGGAGAGAAGACTCTCTTATTTCCATTTCAAGCTTGATATGTGAGCCGTGGCCCATGAAATCTGCTTATTAACTCTTACTTAGCCAGAGCAAAATGTACAACATCTTTAATTCTGCTGGGCCTCATTGAGGCAACGCTCATTTCTAATCCATTTAAAAGAGGCATGATCAATCTGTGGTTGACTTTTGAAGGTGATGGGTGTCACCTCCCACTATCTCCTGATTTGTTCGATAAGGTATTAATGATCTCCTCTTTATTTTTCTAAGAGGGTATTTATAATATTTTCCTTGCCAATTTGTTCATAGAATCCCTACAGTGTGGAAGCAAACTGTTTGCCTCATCGAGTCCACACTGCCCCTGCAAAGACTATCACACCCAGACCCACTCCCTTATCCCTGCATTTCTGTGAGGTGAGATAGTTGTGGATGCCTGGAACCAGTTTCTTCACTTATAAAATAGGATATAGTGGAAACATTGCTTATAAACTTAAAACTATATGGAGCTAATACAGAAGATCACAGAATACTAACATAAAAGATTGCAAAGGGGGTTGTATTTCTGTTATACAGAGTGTGTATATAATAAAAGTTCATAGTAAACAGTGCATAAAAGGTGTGGTAGAGAAATATCCTTGTTTATTTAGTCACTAAATAATCTTGTGTGATAGAAGTCTAAAGTACCATAGAGTTACAAACCTAAACACATGTTGTATAAGGTTAACTAATAAAAAGATACAAAAATACTAAATTACATTCAGCCAAATGGAATTGTTCATGTTCTAAAACATTACAAATTAAAACAAAGTTAATGTCGAACACAACTGTTTAATTCTTTCCTTCCTCTCCTCCCACAATAAATCCCTTTTAACATTTTTTTATTGATAACACCAGATATTTTGATAAGAATTCAACAAGCTGAGATATGATCATGTTCAACATTGGAGGATGAAAGTTGAAAGATCCTGCAATGTAGCTCCGTGAAATCCCATGATGCATTTCATTGTCATATGAGGCTAAGCAGAGTCACATGCTGCTGAAGTACTAAAATCTACATCATCATCATTATCATTGGCAGTCACTCGCAGATGAGAATGACTCTCTTCCGTTCTCAGGGTGAGTCCGTAGGTGGCTATACGCTCCAAAGCGGCTACCATAGGCTCTGTTCCACTTGGGGCAGGTGGTGGTCAAAGAAAGGGGTGGGTGGGGCATTGGTGTGGCAGCGCGCTTCTTTCGCTGTTTTCACCTGGCTTCCATTTTTTCCTGAAGGCATGTCTCAAGGTGCTCAACACCTTCCCAGATGCTCCTCCCTCACTTTTGACTATCTTGGGCCACTGATTCCCAGGTGTCTGTGGGAATGCCATACTTCGCCACTGAGGCCTTGAGGGTATCACTGAAGCGCTTCCTCTGTCCATCTGGGGCTCTACATAGGTTACAATTAAATAACATTAGGTTTATCGCTACTACACTTTGATTGTATGATTACAAGTAAATTAACCTAATCATGAAATATTAATCTCCCTACTAGTCCAACATAGTGATACAAGAGTTTGAAGGTAAGACAGGGAGGTGTCTCTATTTCATGAATATCACTGACAATAACTTTACAACATTCATTTAGCAGTGGGAGCTTTGAAGAACCCCTAGAGAATGTGTGAATGTTTATTTCCCCATCTACAGTATTTCTCCAGAAGTCCTACCTTTGGAAATTCCAGATGATGATTCCTTCATATCTATTGAAGGCATTGTTTCAGTTGAAATATTCTTTTACAGTGCCCAGAGAGAAACAACGGTTTTCAACAACGTCTTTTATACAACTGAAACTGTAAAATCACAACTCTATTGAGAAACTTTGCACTTCCTACACAAAGCTTGATGTTCAATTAACAGAATGCTGCCAGCAAAATTAACATAGAGACCTAATTTGAAACAGCTTGGTAGTGTGGTGGGGACGGAGGTTCTTTGTGCAAATTTGAAGTGCTCGGATACTTACAATTAAATTTACAGATGTGTTCAGTCCACCATCCAAGTCCGACATAACCACATACAAGCAAGTAGGCTAGCCACATAGTTCAAATATTCATCTCATAATGATGCAACTTGAAGTTTGAACCTGGAGAGAACATTGATGAGTATAAGGTTGGAGACCTGCTGCCACCCAGGAGATCTCCTTGATTTAATAGTGTTCTTCCTACACTGGCTTATTTGCTAATCCTTATGGCATGGACTAACTTTGCTCAGAAAATGTGTGGTATGTTTTAGGATCTTGACTTTCTTTGTCTTGACCATTGGCAGCCATCCTGATTCCTTCCTATAATTTCTTCCAAAGATAATTAGTACATAGCAATCACTATAACTGACACTATCGTACCATCAAGCATTCTACCCAGAAGAGACAGCAACACCAATGATTAGTGTCCTATAAAATGTAGATCGAGAGGTTGAGAAAGATGCACATAATCCATGGACAATTCAAAAAGAATGAGTGAGTGGGGGTTTGAGGAGGTCCTACAGTACAGTGAGTAGTATTCCTGTCTCTGAGCCAGATTCTCTGGGTTCAAGTTCCATTCCAAACCTTAAATGGCCAAGGAAATGCACTCATAACACAGACTAGATTGAGTACCAACTTGTTAATCCTTCCAATATACACCAATGGCAATCAGTAAAAGTGGGAGATTCCTGGTCTGCTGTGTGATGGAAAGAAAATAGAGCCTCCACCATCATTATTCATTGCTCCAGGCTAAAACATGCATAGAAACAACAGCAACTCAGACTAGTTCGGAGCTGGTAGCTCAGTTAGCTGGACGGCTGGTTTGCAATGCAAAATAACGCTAACAGCATGGGTGGAGATCCTACATTGACTGAGGTTACCATGAAGGACTCTTTCTCAACCTCTTCCCCTTGCAATGAGGCATGATGACCCTCAGGTTAAACTACCACCTGTCGTTTCTCTCCTATGATCCAGTAGGACTCTGGTGACTTTACCCTTACCATCCTCATTCCACCTGGAGTGGATTTGTGACTTACCTCCATTGCCATACCAATGCTGGAGATCATTGCATTGCGGGTCAGACCTGCCTTTCGGCAAAAGAAGAAAGAGGAAGTATTAAGGGAGAAATGGGGAAAAGCAAGAAGCAACATGCTGCAGAGTAATTTCCTTCTATAAGTGCAGATCCGAAGAAGCAAGGAAGCTCTTCTCATCTTCCCATTCCAGGTAGATACTTGCACCACTGTATTTTAAATGTGGCTCCAGAATTCTCACAACCACCTTCTCAAAGGCAACTGGGCTTGGACAAAAAATGCTTACTTTGGCAATGATGTCACACCCCATGAAAGAATGAAAACTATTATAGTCTGATGTGGAGCCATCACAGTCCATAGGCTGAAGGAAATTGCAGAAAAAAATTTTCATTACTCTCTTCAGATTCTCCACAGCCATTCACCTCACTGTCTGCTATCACTGCACAGAAGTACAAAAATGGCCACAGCACTGATAGGTTAAGCACCAGGATATTAAAATTTTTTTGTAGTGTTAATTGCATCTTCTTGTTTCTCTTCAAGCTGTCAAGAGATTATGCTAACTGGATATTAGTGGAATTGTGCTTGTTTACATTGATCTTTTCTTGTTAAAGTGTTGAGAGAGTGGCATGACTTCTCTTAAAGTCACAGTATCATCACAGATTATAGATTTTTGCAATAGATTCTTAGTCACACAAGGTTTAGCATGTGCCAACAGTGCTATGGAGTCCCCTAAAGAAGAACATCTCTCTAAAGTGTTCTTCAATTAGATTGTGGCAAATGTCTCTCCCAAGTGCAGCCATCCAATTGGAAATGTCACGTGGTCCCCTTGATCTCCTTCATCGGGCTCCTCTTCTTACTCCTCATCTTCTCCAGTGGTTTCTGAGATGTCTACAACACGGCTATTTTTTATTCACTGCATTATCGCTGTAGTTATTTTCTAAGCAATCTGTTCAGAGATGTACCTCTGGAGCAAGTGGGTCTTGAACCCAGGCATCTTAATGAGAGGTAGCCACAAGAGTTCTCTCCAGTTGCTCCTGAATGCAGTGATTGTATCAAAATCAGCCAGGTGAACCTCAGAATACGAGTTCCCTGATTGGAGCTGTTAATCTGGCCCAATCATGGAGTCCTGTCTGACAGATGTAAACAGAAGTGTCAGACATCCTGCTCACTGAGAGCTGGCTCTGAAAGAGCTAGATCAGTGTCAAGGCCTCTCCATGTGTATATAAAGGGTGACTTGGTGACTGGATACCGGTTTCTGTGGAGTTATTTTAGTGGCAAAGAGAGAAAAGCACACTGCTGAAAAAATTCACTTTCAACAGTCGTCTTTGAGTAGTGGTAAACATTTCTAGCATCATGCCGTTATCTGGGAAGCTTGACTTATTCGATGCTGTCATCGAAGACTGGGCCCAGTATGTGGAAAAATTGTTTTTTTTTTCCCTGGGAAAATGCCATTGAGACAGATGAAAAGCAATGATTAATTTTTCTGACAGCTTCTGAACCCACAGCATTTTTAATTATTAAGAGCCTAACTTTCCATAAGGCATCAAAAACTAAAATCTTTCAAGGGATGGCATAGTGCCTCAGTGGTTAGCACTCAGTGCCAGAAACCCGGGTTCAATTTCACCCTGGGGCAACTGTCTGTGTGGAGTTTGCATGTTCTCCCTGTACCTGTGCAGGTTTCCTTAGGGTGCTCCAGTTTGCTCCCACAATGCAAAGATGTGCAGGCTAGGTGGATTGGGCATGCTAAATTGCCTGTAGTGTTCAGGGATGTATAGATTGGTTGGGTTATAGGGAGATGGGTCTGAGTGGGATGCTCTGAGGGTCCGTGTGGACTTGTTGGGCTGAAGGACCTGTTTCCACACTGTAGGGATTCTATGAGTTGACAGGTTTATTTAAGGAATATTACAAGCCCAAGCCTCCTCTAATTCTGAGACACTATCGGTTTTACTTGGTAACTTGAGAACCAACGAGATTTTGACTAGGTTAAGGCAACCAGCAGAGGTATGTGACTTTGATTTAACCTTTACTGAGATATTGAGAGACCATTTGGTATGTGGGATTAATGATGAGACCTTGCAAAAGCGCCTACTTGCAAAAACCCAACTGGACTTCAAACAGGCACTACAACTGGCTTTGTCATTGGAAAATGCAACAAGTGGAGCATATGAGTTGCAGGGTATTCCAATGAAAGTGGGCACCCTCATCTGTCTGACTGAACTTGGGGAACACCACTTGAGTGAAGGCAATTGCATAGCTTCACTCAGGACATTTGTGAACACAGGGACTCTAAGTCAGCCCATAACAAAACCCCAAAACAAAGCCAAGTCTCAGCCAAATGGTTAACATTTTCTTCAGGATCCAGGCTGGCAGACCATTTGTGATTGTTGCTAGTATGCGGACTAGAGACAGCAAAAAAGTTCCACTAGGCTGGAATTGAGTAAGAGAAACCAAGGCCATTATCCAATAAAGTGGACACCTTGGAAAGTCTTGGTTTGGAGCAGCTAAATTGCTTAGCAACATCCAAATCAGAACCAAACAGAATAAATGTCTGGTTAAATGGTCACCCTGTTCAAATGGAGGTTGATACCGGCACCACCATTTCAGTGATCACAGAGCCGGTCTTTAACAAAATTCACTCTGGACTCCAACCTTTAAGTTTGCACAAGACCTCAGCTGGACTGAGAACCTGTACCAGGGAACCTTTACAGATCAAGGGTACAACTCTCTTAGGAGAAACAACTGGTTCAGTTAACTCTGACTGTAGTAAAAGGCTCAGGCCCAAGCTTGATGGGGAAAAATTGCTTGAGAGAGATTCACCTAGATTGGCTCAACATTTTTCGATTAGAAAATGCTGCCTGAGTGAAGTGTTAATTAAATGCCCAGACGTATATCATGAAAGTCTAGGGACTATCAAAGGAACCAAGGCCACTTGCACGTTGACCAGGAAGCAATTCCACAATGCCTTTACCTTATGGGCAAAAGTAGAGGCAGTAGAGACACGGTGGCTCAGTCGTTAGCACTGTTGCCTCACAGCCCCAGGATCTCGGTTCGATTCCACCCTCGGGTGACTGTCTGTGTGAAGTTTGCATATTCTCCCCGTGTCTGCGTAGGTTTCCTTCGGGTGAACGGTTTCCTCCCACAGTCCAAAGATGTGCAGGCTAGGTGAATTGGCCATGCTAAATTGCCCGTAGTGTTCAGGGATGTGTAGATTAGGTGGGTTTTAGGGGGATGGATCTGGGCGAGATGCTCTGAGGGTCGGTGTGGACTTGTTGGACTGACGGGCCGTTTCCACATTGTAGGGATTCTATGATTCTATAAAATCAGGAGGCTGAAAAGCGAAGGAATCATTAAACCAGTCCAGTTTGCAGAGAATGGGCAGCATTGGTCATACTGTGAAGCCTG